AACAACCACCAACTGGGAGCTCTTTGGCTCTATTGCGGCAACATGGGAAGATGCCGTCATTGACAACATTGATGAGGACTACGATCAAATGATTCAGCACCTCCATGATTGTGCAAGGAATGCCAAGAGATAAATAACCACAAAAAACCGTCTTTCTTCGAACACTCTTGAACTTATTCGCCAACGTGGCTTGGCACATGCCTCAGGCAACCACAAGCGAACATCCGAACTGGCAAAACAGTGCAGAGAAGCCATCAAGGATGACCTCAAAAACAGGAGAGCTGCAGTACTGGTAGATGCAGCAGAAGCTGGGAAAAACATTCGTAATGCCCGCCTGTCCTTCACGAACTACAAAACCAAGATGACTGCCCTCCGACATCATGATGGATCTATCACATCTTCCAGAAGGGCAATGGAGAAGATTATTCATGACTTCTACTCAGATCTCTTTAATAGCCACATCCACTTGCCCACATACCACATACCACATGATGGATATGTCGTTCCCAATGTTCTCCCTTCCGAAATCCAACATGCCATCTCGTCGGTAAAGAAACAAAGAGCACCTGGCCCAGACAAGATCAGACCTGAACAACTGAAGAACTTACCATCAGTACTTATCAATACATTGGCTTGACTTTTCACACGCTACCTGTCTGAATACAAGGTTCCATCCCAATGGAAAACCAGCAGGACTGTACTACTATACAAGAAAGGAGACACCCACGACATTGGCAACTATCGCCCAATCTGCCTATTGTCTGTCATCTACAAACTATTCACTCGAGTCATCCTGAATAGGATTAGCAGAACGCTAGATGAAGGACAACCATGTGAACAAGCTGGATTCCGAAAAGGATTCAGTACCATCGACCATATCCACACAATAACCAAGCTCATTGAGGTATCTCGGGAGTTCAAGATGCCGCTCTGTCTAACGTTCATTGATTTAAAGAAGGCCTTTGATTCTGTTGAGACGGAAGCGGTCATGGAAGCCCTAGCCAATCAGGGTGTACAAACTCAATACATCAGGATCCTTCGTGAGCTCTATTGCGGATTCACTACCGAAATCTCACCATTCTACAAAGAAGTAATCATCCATATCAAGAGAGGGATTCGGCAGGGTGATACCATTTCACCAAAACTCTTCAGTGCCACCCTCGAGAACATCATGCGACGATGGAATGGGAAAACGTGGGAGTGAAGATAGATGGTCGGCAACTACACCACCTCTGCTTTGCTGATGACATCGTTCTAATAACACCAAACATCAGCCAAGCGGCACAAAAGCTGAACGAATTTGACCGTGAATGTGGAAAGGTCGGACTACAGCTGAATCTTACGAAGACAATGTTTATGAGAAACAGCCTTGTTCCTGGCGCTCCATTTGCTCTCAACGGAACCACCATCTCCGAATGCAACGGTTATATATACCTAGGTCGAGAAAACAACATGATGAATGACCTGGCACCTGAGTTGCACAGGAGGAAGAGAGCGGCTTGGAATGCCTTCAAGAGCATTGAAGAAATAACTAAAAGGACAAAGAACCTCCAGCTACGAACACATCTCTTTGATTCCACTATTCTTCCTGCATTAACATATGCCTCAGAGACCTGGACCCTACGAAAACAGGATGAGAACGCTATTCGGGTCTCTCAAAGAGGAATCGAAAGAACTATGCTTGGAATATCACGATTCACTCAAATGAGAGATAGAATCCGGAGTTCTGATCTTCATCAACGCTCAAGAATCAGGGACGCTGTCTCATTTGCCAAGACATCAAAAATCAGATGGGCTGGACATGTAATGAGGTTTACAGACAACCGCTGGACTAGAGACATTACTGATTGGATTCCACGAGACATCAAAAGATCACGTGGACGCCCACCTATAAGATGGTCAGACTTCTTCGTCAAGACCCTAAATGATCGGTTTAAGGCTCTGCATGTTGCTAGAACGAACAGATTCCATTGGGCTACGCTAGCACGCAACCGGGATGAATGGAGACATTACTGGCACCCGCTCGAATAAATCGATGAATAACGGGGATTAAGTGATTAAGTGATAGGTGATTTATTTGTTTGCTTTGCTTTGGTTTTTGCTTGGGGCCTCACCTGATGATGCTCAGGGGTTACTCTTGGGGGTCCTCAGGGGTCCATATTTGACTCTTTGATGCCAGGGAAGCACCTTCCCACTATACTATCTATCTGGCTCCCGGAGTTTTTCTTTTTTAAATATTGTCTTTTTCTGAAAGGTTGTGTTTTGTTTGCAAATATGATTTTATATGTTTTGTTTACTATCTTTATGACAGGGAGCACTTCTGAAATATTTCTCTTTCAAAGTGTCAGGTTGGCTCTTAGGGGTGCCCGGGCCAGAACTCTGGCTCTTTCTTCTGTGGGGTGAGGTTTCTCCATGCTGAGTCCCTTAAGATAATCTGTAGACCCAAAAGCATTGATTTATTTGAGTTTTCACCCAGATGTTTTTCCTATGGCACATTCTTCACTAGAAATAGGGAAAATTGGGCATGGCTGGAGTTCTGGCAGGCCGAGTGGGGACCCCCCCCTCAAGTGTGTAACCACCACCTACAGTGTGCAACCCTCAGCCTCAGCAAGAAAGGGAGGGAAAGGGAAAATAAATACCGGAATGAAGGGGAAGATGCAAGGGGGAAACACATCAGCTTGATAATGTCTTCTAAAAACGGCGTACTGAACCAGAGAGATAGTAATGTGGGTAGGGCACTTGCCTTGTCCCTTGCAGACCCTGGTTCATTGCCTGGAACCCCATATGGTCCCCCAAGCCCCACCAGGTATGACCCCCAGTGCCAAGCCAGGGAGTCAGCCGGAACCCGTGCACGGCCCCAACGCTCCCAGTGCCTGTCTGCGCCCTCTGTGCCCTCTATCATTGGAAGCTTGTGCAGGTGTATTTGAGACGTGACCGTGTTTCCCTGCATTCCTTGGGTGTGTGAGTTGATTTGTGGTACTGCTGCTGCTGGTCTCAAGACACGACCTTTCGAGAACGCAGGTGCATCACCAGATTTCTGGGCACCATTTCCCCTCGGCATGTTGGTCTCAGCAGCACCTTAAGAGAAAGAACCTGGGGCTTGCTTTGGTTCTGGGCTGCTGTCACCCAGCTCCTTGTGGGTTTGCTCATGTCTCTGGGCTTCATCCTGTGGAATCCAGAACTTTCCTGGGCTCCCCGATGGTCTCTCCCCACCCCAGTCATGAAGCAGGGAGGGGCTTGCATGGCCTTGTTTGGTGACAGGACACAGGCCTGCATGCCCCTGTGTGGTGACAGGACAGGGGCCTGCCCGGCCCTGTGTGGTGACAGGACTAGGGGTTCGCCTTCCATCCGAGCCATTGCAGGTCTGGGAGCAGCCTCTCTGCTCCCTTTCCCAGTCAGCAGTGCGGAAGCGTTGAGGAAGCGGCTTGGTCACCCCAGCTGAGGATAGGAGCTTTCTCGGTCACACCCAGGGTTGCTCCTGGCCCTGCGTGGGCGGGGCAAGGCCATCCCAACAGACAGACCCCAGACAGTTCGTTGCCACGGGCCCCACATCCGCCCGTGGATGCTGCATTCACGCCTTCTCTCTCGCCCTGAGCCACGACGGCCCCCGAGCCCGCATCACCTGGGGAGCCCCGAGTTCAGGACAGGAGGGACCCACACACCACCAGTTATGACCCTAGTGGCTGTTAAAGAGGAATTGCAAGGGCTGGAGCTATATACATTCGGAGGGCATTTGCCTTGCACGCAGCTGACCCAGGTTCAATCCCCGGCATCCCATATGGTCCCTGAAGCACCACCAGAATAATTCCTGAGTGCAGAGCCAGGGGTATCCCCTGAGCCTCACCGGGTGGGAGTTGTTAGAGGTGTCTCTGTAGTAATACGCCGTTTTTCAAAATGAATGTTTTGTTGGGTGCTCGGGGCTGGGCAGGGCCAGGCAGGAGCCGGCTTAGCTGTCCGCAGGCAGACACAGTTCCCGCTCTGAACAGTCACCTGGGCCCCTGAGCAGTTTGAAAGAGGCCCCCTAATGCTTTCCTTCCACTGAATCTTCCTCTCTGCTCTGCTCCAATGCGGAGATTCTGGTCCTTTTCTGAGGACTCTTTGGACATCCCGACCAGGATATTTTGGACTGAAGAGTGAGGCTGCACCCCAGACTTGGCAGAGACATCCTACATGATCTTTGGGGATGTTATGCTCAATCTGGGCCAGGCTCTCTGGGAGGTCTCCCTCTCTACCCCGCCCTCAGTCTGCACCCCTCGTCCTCACGCCTCTGCGGTGCACGCCTGTTGGCTGCTGCCTTAGACAGGGTCAAAGATTCCACGATGAGGGGCTGGAGCAATAGCACAGCAGGTAGGGCGTTTGCCTTGCATGCGGCCGACATGGGTTCGATTCCCAGCATCCCATATGGTCCCCCGAGCACCACTAGGAGTACTTCCTGAGTGCATGAGCCAGGAGTAACCCCAGTGCATTGCCGGGTGTGACCCAAAAAGAAAAAAGATAAAAAGAGAGTCCCGCGATGGGCACCAGCAGTGCCGCCCCATCAGGTGGAGTGCAGGTGAAGCGCGTTGCGTGAGTTCCCTCCTCTGCTCTCCGCACTTGCTGGATGAAGGGATTGAGGCACAGGAGAGATCTTGAGGCCCCGCTGGGACCATGTGTGCTCTGTCAGCCCTGCTGAACCACCCGGCTGGGCGGCGCGTGCGTGCTCTTTGCTCTTTCTGGGCCAAAGATGTTTCTTTTTGTCTGTGTGTTAAATGGACCTTGTGGCCCTTCTCTGAGACCGTGGCTGCCCTCCTGCTGTCCCCTGTGACACTCGCTGCTGTATGTGGGAGAGGCTGCCTGCCCTTCTACAAGCCCAGAGTGTTCTGCTGTGTGGTCACGCGGGCAGGCGGAGGTCAGCCTTTCCTCCCCCGCCCAGCAATGCTTGCCCCCAGTAGAGTTGCTGCCTTGAGGCCTCGGTGCTGACTCACAGAGCCTGTGCCCACGCGCCTGGCCCTCTCCCACAGGAGTGCTGCCTGGACAGCGACCAGACAGGCCTGTACCACGCGACCAAGGGCCTGATGAAGCTGCTGGCCTGTACGGGACCATCCCCTAGATCTTCGGCAAGGGCGAGTGCGCCAGGGTGAGCCGGGGCGGGGAGGGAGGCCTCTCTCCTGCGGGTGGGGTTTGGGGCTCCACCTCGCAGTGCTCTTGGCTCTGTGCTCGGGCCACCAAAATGAGTCTGTCTGCGTGCAAGGCGTGACCCCTGGCCCCTCTGCTTTCTCCCAGCCCTCTTTCCTTTTCTCTTTTCTGTTCTTTATCTTTTCTTTTCCATCCCTACTCTCCCTCCCTCTCTCGCCCTCTCCCTCCTCCCGCCCTCTCCATACCCTGCAGTGCTCGGGGCTCACTCCTGGCAGGGTTTGAGGGATCGTACCTGGTGCCAGGAATTGAACCTGTGTCAGCCACCTGCAAGGCAAGCATCCTACCCACCATACTGTCTCGGGCCTGTCTTGTTTTATTTTATTGTTCCATTTTTTTCCGCCTTATTTTTAAATTTTGTATTGCCGGGGTCTTTTTAGCTTCATTTTAAAATCCGCCCATTGCTAAAAAGGCTCTCCCTGATTCTGTACTTTGTTCCCAGCAAGTGGCCAATATGATGATGAGGATGAAGAGAGAGTTTACAGAAAGTCAGAATTCAATATTTCCTGTTTTTGATAACCTCTTGTTGCTTGATTGAAATGTGGATTCATTAACGTCCCTTGCGACTCAGCTGACATACGAAGGACTCGTCGATGAAATTTATGGCTTCCAGAACAGTAAGTGAAGCGACATCATTTACTAATAGGTTAGCTGAGTAAAATCAATCTCAAAACTGTCTGTTTTTAAAGGTGTGGCCTTTGTGTATAAGTCAGAATACTTGAAAATGTCAGGCACTGACTTTCAGCCCAAGGTTAAAGCGAGCTCGAGCCAGGACACCATCGGGGAAACTGAGGCGAAGGCCTTGTGCAGAGGGCCATGCGGTGTGCAGCCCCGCTGCTCAGGCCGCCCAGGAAGGCGTGAGGAATAGAGCGTTTCTGAGGGGTGCCTGGGTCTGAGGTCAGGGGGCTTTGGCCCCGGGTGTTAGATTCTGTAGCATTTCAGATCTGAGTGGGGGCTAGGAAAGCTCACGGGGCTAGTGCCAGGCGCACAGCCAGCGCTCGGTTCCATCCGCGCTCCTGCCTCGTCCAGTGAGCACTGAGCCGGGAGTATCTCCTGCTGGGATACAGTCTGAGAAGTTTCCCACAGTCTGATTCGTGTCTTTTCTTCATAATACGGAGCCCCAGGCCGCAAGAGGGGTAACTCCGGCGACTTCAGGAGTGGCCCTGGCCGGCGGCTGGGAAACAACCCTGGGGATAGAGCCCCGGTCTGGAAGGACGGGGATGCAGCTAACTGCATGGGGTCTCTCTGGGGACACAGAGCCCTGCAGCTGCTGAGTGCTGGCCGAGTCCAGACAGTGCTGTCTGTCCAGTGTGCCAAGCTGGTTATCGCAGAGTGGATTGCGATGGCGTGTGTGTGCGTGTGTGTGTTCGTGTGTGTTAGTGTGTATGTCATTGCAGTGGTGAATGCGTGGCTCAGTGACAGCGGCCACGGAAGCAGAACAGGACCACACATGGAGGCATTTCCACACACAAAGCGTTTTTCTGCTCTTTAATGATTATGGGTTTTTTTCCGGTTTGTTTTTTACCAGTTGTTCCAAAGGATAACTTCTTAAGTTGCTTCCTTTTGTGGGGACAGTCGTAAGCAGTGCCCAAGTCACTGTGGGGCTGATCTCGGTGATTTTCTGCTCTGTGGGGCCAGTCCGTGGCCCTGGGGCCACCGGGGCTGTGCCTGGCAGCGGCTGGGGGTGATGCCACACACACAGTCCCTCCCCAGACTCCTGCTCCGAGCTTTCACTGGCACGGGAGCACCCCGTGCGAGGGGTCCCCACCTCCTGGTGCTTCTGCAAGTCCCTCGAGGGATCTGGCAGAGGTGCTGGGGTGGCTGGTGCGGAGGTGTGAGAGATGGGGCTTGTGGGGTGCCTCCGGGGGGAAGGCGTTTTGGGAGCTCACAGTCTCTTCACATCACACACTTACTTCTGATCAAACATTTAATTAAGGGAGAGGGCTGGAGTGATAGTACAGCGGGTAGGGCATTTTCCTTGCACGCGGCTCAGCCCGGGTTCGATTCCCAGCATCCCATAGTGTCCCCTGAGCACCACCAGGAGTAATTCCTGAGTGCAGAGCCACTAGTGACTCCTGTGCATTGCTGGGTGTGACCCCCCCAAAAAAGAAAAAATTAAGAGAAATCTGAAAAACAAGGAGAAATTGGGCTTCCCCATAACCCCCCAGCTCTGCGCCCGTGGCTGGACCGAGGGCGATGGCAGGCCTGTGCAGGAGCTGCGTGCAGGCTGCCTGGGTCAGCGGCTGCCCCTCTGCTTTGAGCTGGAATGCGAGGTCTTGCCGACCTCGTGTATCTCAGCATGTGCTCAGGCCCCGGGTCCCGCGGCCACCGTGGCGTGCTGTCTCCAGACGCTGGTGCCCGGGCTGTTCCGAGGGGCTTAGGATTTGGAAAGCATCCGAGAAGTATTTTTCTTCCGTCGGTCACTTTCTCTCCCACATTCTCCGATGCAGGAGTTCTTCTTGTTGCTTTATGATTCTCAGCACCCACCCCACAGTGCTCAGGGCCCACACGGGGCAGTGCTCAGAGGAACAGACAGCTGGACTTGAGCGTGCGCTGCCCCCGATGACCCGTCTCTCTGGACCCACAGCAGTGGAGCTGATTGTGTGTAGACACGTCGGGATTTGTGTTGAAAGTGGAGGAGATGATTTTTTGAAAGGAACCAACTTGGAGCTAGAGGCAGTGCAGCAGTTAGGGTGAGTTTGGTCCCCAGGACCGCATATGGTTCCCCCAGTCACTGCCAAGAATTAGCCCAGAGCACAGAGCCAGGAATAAGCCTTGAGCACTGACAGGTTTGGCCCAAAAATCAGAGAAAGGAAACAGAAAGGAAAGAAGCCGTTGGAGCTGTCTCCGGCCTCAAGCAAACTTCCATGCTGAAATGATTCCTGGGATCTTGTTTTTGTTTTTGTTTTTGTTTTTCTTTTGACTTTTCTTTTTCTTTTTCGTAGAGTATCTTGCCTGCATGGCAAAGTCTGGCAAGCTACCCGTGACGTGTTCTATATGGCAAACACAGTAACAAGTCTCAAAATGGAGACGTTACTGGGCCCGCTTGAGCAAAATCGATGAACAATGGGAGGACAGTGACAGGGGTCACACTTGGCAATGCACAGGGGTTACTCCTGGTGCTGCACTCAGGAGTTACTCCTGGCAGTGCTCAGGGGGCCATATGGGATGTTGGGACTCGAACCTGGGTCTGCCCCATGCAAGGCAATCACCTTCCCTGCTGTGCTATCACTCCAGCCCCATCCTGGGCTCCTCTTGGCTTGTTGAAATGTCGGTATAGACTGCATGCACTTGCACGCGCCAGCAGGACAGACCTGCAGTTAGGCCGCCCTGGGGCATGTTTCCTCGGGTGGCCCCATCCTGAGTTCAGTTCGGGCTGGCAGTGGCAGGAGGCGTCCCGCGGGCCAGGCCAGGGAAGCCGTGCGTGAAAAGCGTGAGCGTCCTACGCTCGTGCGCATCTAGTGACTCAAAGCCCAGTGCTCTCCCCTGACAGGAAGTCTCTGGAGTCTCACTTGGGTGTCCCCTCCCGTGCAGGTCATGTAAAGCTGCCACCCGAGAAATTCGCCCTGAAGAGGCAGGGTGACGGGCAGGACCTGCCCACAGAGTCCAAGAAGCTGCCGCTGAACTCAGCCGAGGAGCTCTATGCTGAGATCCAAGACCGCAACTTCAACGCCGTGGGCGCCGTGCTCTGCAAGAAGGCCAAGGTGATCTTGGCTGCCTTTGAGGTGACTGGAGCCTGGGGCCAGGCGGCAGGCGGGCTGTGGGCGCCTGGGGAAAGGTGGTGCCAGGCCCTCTCCTGGTGTCAGGTCCTTTGCCAGTCATCATCTGCACTCCCTGTCCCTCCCTCCTTCCTCCCAGCTGCTGGCGGTGGCGGCATCTCCACTAGCTCCTGCATCTAGGGAATCCGGGTTCAGCCGGAGTAGGCTGGGAAGGCGTGTGATAATGAGAGCACAGTCCCTGGCCCCCAGCTTCGTTAGCACCTCGCGCCCTCCTGCTGATTGTTTATTCTGGGTTCAGCTCACTTTTGAAACCTGAATCAGTAAAATGATAGAAGCTGAATTTTTTAACTCCGGGGGAAGTTTTTAAAAATCACTTTTTCCCTTGAAGGGTGATTTCCTGATTTCATCTTTTTTAGGAGTTATCTCCACAATATCAGTATTTGTATTTCTTTGGGGTTTTATTTTTTTTGAGGTGAGGCACACCCAGAGGTGATCAGGGCTAACTCCTGGCTTTGCGCTCAGGGATCACTTCTGGCGGGCTGAGGCAACCACATGGGATGCTGGGGATCGAACCCAGGCTGGCCGCATGCAAGGCAAGCACCTCGCCACTGTTCTGTCACTCTGACCCCATGGTTGTTGTATTTCTGAAGTTGCTTTTGTCTCACTTGGGTTTTGTTCCTCAATTTTTTATTTCCTCACCGTGACTTATAAAGCTATGGATAAGAAGTGTCAGGCATTCACTGTTCCAGCTCCGAGCTCGCCATGGTGTCCAGTTCCCTCCCTTCCCGCTGCCAGTGCTCAGGGCTGGCTCCTGGCAGGCCTCGGGGTTCTGTAGGGAGGCCGGGCACTGAGCAAGCGCCTCCCACACTGTATAGCTTGGACAAAGTAAACGTTTTACACTTGATTTGCTATTGTTGAGGTCTCAGGCTATACGATCGTTAGCTTTTGTGGCTTCAAGGCACAGTTTGCTGAGCTCCACATCCCTGGCAGGGACCATGCAGTGTCAGGTGTGGCCTGCGTGGGCCCTGGGCTCCCTCCCGTCCACATGGTCTCCCAGTGCTGCAGGATGTGGCTGTCGCAGTACCTGGACCCACCAACCTGCCTTTTCTATTTTCCTGTGGCTGTGGGATCTGGTTATAGCCTAATTCGTTTTGTGTCCATTTCTCACACTAAAAATTAAGTTGGGGGAGCCGGAGTGATAGCACAGCAGGTAAGGCGCTTACCTTGCATGCAGCTGACCTGGACTCACTCCCCAGCCTTCCATGTGGTCCCGGTGCATGCCAGGAGTGATCCCTGAGTGCCAGGCCAGAAGGAAGAGGGCAGAGCCATGCGTCAGCTCTGCACCACCAGGTCTGATCCATAAAGCTGTAGGGGCGGGGGTGGGGAGGAGAGAGAGAGAGAGAAGGAGAGAAGAGATTGGGAAATTGGGTAGAGGGTGGAGATGGCAGGGCTGAGCAGGCCCCAGCAGTGGGGCAGGAACAGCTACCCCACCATCCGGAAGACCCTGCGCCTCTGGATGGACGATTTGAATGAACAGGTGAGCCGAGTCTTCATGCACACGCATGCACATGCACGCCATCTAATAGGCGAGCTGAGCCTTCACGCACATGCATGCGGACCAACATACACACACAGACACATACATAGACATACACACACACATTTCCCCAGTGGTGTGGCATCCTGCTGGTGGGAAGGCGCTGCCCTTGCAGAAGCCAGGACTGAGAGGGGCTTTTGGGGGGATGCTCTTTGAAAATGGGGGCTGGGGGGTGGGAAACGGGGGCCCTTGTCCACTTAGGCCTCAGGGCGGGGAAGGCTGGTCTGGACTCAAGGAAGCCTCTGGTCAGGGAAAAGGCCAGCCTCAAGTAAGAGGATTGGGGACCAACACAATTGACTCACTGTGGGCAGTTGGGGCTGCTGGATTCAGAGTCACTGTGGGGGGGGCGGTTCAGACTGGGGGTGACTGTGATGCTGGGGGCTGTCACTCTCACCCTTGGGAGATTTGGGCTTGGCTGTGCCCTGGGGCCTCGCCCCCTGGAAGAATGCCTGAGAGTAGCTTGGCTGGGCTTAGAGCTCTCCACATTCCCTCCCCCCTGTGGGCCGAGTTTCTATAGGAGAAGTTTCTCACCAAATCGATGAACAGTTTTTCTTCTGTGGGGGTCGGATGGAATCTTTCCCGGGCAGACAGTTGAATGTTCAGACCCAGCGGTGCTGGGGTTTGGCCACGCACCTGCCCTCTGCACGTGCTGCCGGGCACTGGCACCTTCCAGCACACAGGGGCACCAAGCAGCTTTCTGAGATTGATTTGAGACAGGACTCAGGGCCAGGCGAGGTGAGGGCAGAGCCATGCGTCAGCTCTGCACCACAAGGTCTGATCCATAAAGCTGTAGGGCCGGGGGTGGGGGAGAGAGAGAGAGAGAGAAGGAGAGAAGAGAGAGATTGGGAAATTGGGTAGAGGGTGGAGATGGCAGGGCTGAGCAGGGTAGGCTGGAGCACACTGTGTTCCTCCCCAAAGTCAAATCCAGAATGGCAGCGTGGAGGACGTTTGCCTTTAATGCAGCCAACCCAGGTTGTGATCCCTGAGTGCAGCACCAGGAGGGAGCCCTGAGCACCGCAGGGTATGGCCTCCGCTGAAGCAAACAAACAAAAAGAGATCCCATGGCCCATTGGGCAGAGAGGAGTTGGTTGACTCCAGGTGTCGCTCTCGAATTCCCCGCAGAACCCCACAGACATCTCGGCTATGCCTCCCTCAGCATGCGGCTGGCCCAGCTGCTCTCCCGGCCTGGTTGGCACAGAATCGAGGAATTTCTGCACATCCTCCCGGGTCCCCACTTCGAGGAGCGGCAGCCGCTGCCCAGGTGCCTGCAGAAGAAACGTAGGTTTGTGAGTGATTTTGTTTTCGTGACCCGCTTTTCCCCTTGATTGAGTCTTGGCAAGACCTGAAGACTTTCATCTTACATTCTCATTTTTAGAAATAAAATTGCTTACATTTTTCATTCAAACTCTTGAGGTTCTGCAGTGTGACCTCAGGGCTGGGTGCAGGGTGTGCGGGAAATTCTGTTTCTCCCACACGCCCGTCCCAGCCTGTTTCCTACTGGTTATTTTCAGCACATATTTATTTGTTTGCTTTGCTTTGGTTTTTGCTTGGGGCTTCACCTGGTGATGCTCAGGGATTACTCTTGGGGGTCCTCAGGGGTCCATATTTGACTCTTTGATGCCTGGGAAGCACCTTCGCACTGAACTATCTGTCGGGTCCCCGGGACATTTTCTTTTTTAAATGTTGTCTTTTTCTGAAAGGTGGATTTTTGTTTACAAATATGATTTTATATGTTTTGTTTACTATCTTTATGACAGGGAGCACTTCTGAAAAATTTCTCATTCGAAGTGTCAGCTTGGCTCTTAGGGGCGCCCGGGACAGAACTCTGGCTCTATCTTCTGTGCGGTGAGGTTTCTCCATGCTGAGTCCCTTAAGAGTATCTGTAGACCCAAAAGCATTGATTTATGTGAGTTTTCAACCAGATGTTTTTCCTATGGCATATTCTTCACTGGAAATAGGGAAAATTGGGCATGGCTGGAGTTCTGGCAGGCCGAGTGAGACCCCCCACCCCCCAAGTGGGTAACCACCATCTAGAGTGTGCGACCCTCAGCCTCAGCGAGAAAGGGAGGGAAAGGGAAAATAAATACTGGAATGAAGGGGAAGATGCAAGGGGGAAACACATCGGCTTGATAATGTCTTCTAAAAACAGCATACCAGGGCCAGAGAGATAGTAAGGTGGGTAGGGCACTTGCCTTGCCCCTGGCAGACCCGGGTTCGTTCCCAAGCACCCCATACGGTCCCCCAAGCCCCGCCAAGTGTCACCCCCAGTGCCAAGCCAGGGAGTCAGCCCGAACCCGTGCACTTCCCCAACACTTCCGGTGCCTGTCTGCGCCCTCTGCGCCCTATGCCATTGGAAGCTTGTGCAGGTGTGTTTGAGATGTGACCGCATTTCCCTGCTTTCTTGGGTGTGTGCGTTGATTTGTGGTACTGCTGCTGCTGGCCTCAAGACACGACCTTTCTAGAACGCAGGTGCATCACCAGATTTCCGGGCACCCTTTCCCCTCAGCATGTTGGTCTCAGCAGCACCTTAAGAGAAAGAACCCGGGCCCTGCTGTGCCATCGGCCCCTGTGGTTAACGTAAACAAATTTTTTTTAATACGGAATTATGGCTGGAGCGATATTACAGTGGCAGGGCGTTTGCGTTGCACGCAGCCAACATGGCCGACCCGAGTTCGATTCCTCCACCCCTCTCGGAGAGCCCGGCAAGCTACCAAGCGTATCTCGCCCGCCCGGCAGAGCCTGGCAAGCTCCCCGTGACGTATTCGATATGCCAAACTCAGTAACAACAAAGTCTCCAATGGAGACGTTACTGGGCCCGCTCGAGCAAATGGACGGACAACGGGAGGGCCTTTACTTTTTTCACTTTACTTACGGATTTCTGGGTGGTGTGGACATAGCTTAGAGGGCTAGAGGCACAACATCACCTGGGGAGCCCCGGGTTCAGGATAGGAGGGACCCACACACCACCAGTTATGACCCTAGGGGCTTTTAAAGAGGAATTGCAAGGGCTGGAGCTATATACATTCGGAGGGCATTTGCCTTGCACGCAGCTGACCCAGGTTCAATCCCCGGCATCCCATATGGTCCCCGAAGCACCACCAGAATAATTCCTGAGTGCTGAGCCAGGGGTATCCCCTGAGCCTCACCGGGTGGGAGTTGTTAGAGGTGTCTCTGTAGTAATACGCCGTTTTTCAAAATGAATGTTTTGTTTGGGTGCTCGGGGCTGGGCAGGGCTGGGCAGGAGCCGGCTTAGCTGTCCGCAGGCAGACACAGTTCCCGCTCTGAACAGTCACCTGGCCCTTGAGCAGTTCGAAAGATGCCCCCTAATGCTTTCCTTCCCCTGAATCATCCTCTCTGCTCTGCTCCAATGCAGAGTTTCTGGTCCTTTTCTGAGGACTCTTTGGACATCCTGACCAGGGTGGCTTAGACTCAAGTGTGAGGCTGCACCCCAGACCTGGCGGACCCATCCTACGGAATCTTTGGGGATGTTATGCTCACTCTGGGCCACTCTTTGGGAGGTCTCCCTCTGCACCCCGCCCCCAGTCCGCACATCTCCACGGTGTTATATTTTTATTGTTAATTT